TGTCAAGGCTATCAGATTAGGCGGGAATAAAAACAAAAAAAACTCGATTTGTTGTGTACCGGGACATCAGTAAGCTTAGCTCTCCTCAAAAAAAAAAAGAAGGTAAAACAATCGATTTGTTGTGACAACAGCCGCAATGCACTTGAGACTTATACCTTATATTTCAAGGTCTGATTCCACGTCTATAGTCTCCGATAACCGATTAACAAGACGCGTTATGCGATCAGTTGGCCGTGCGCGGAATTTAAAATCAAATTATCTCATCGAGTAATGTTCTATAAACGTTCTGTTGTTCGCGGTCAAACCGAACATTTTGAAAAGCATTTTCAGGAATTCGAACAGACAAATGTATGCAAAAAGGTTGAGTGACACCGCGTAGCAATAAAACGGACCGCGAACGCTTTTAGTGTCTTCCTTCTGACGTCAAAAAAAAAGTGTATACATTTAGGTACGTGAAGTAAAATTATCTAGGGTTCCGTGTACTGCAGCTGTTTTTAATTTCAACTGACCCATTTATTGTAAGGGTTATTGCTCCCGGTTGGCGCTAGGTGATATAGATATCCATAATTTGTTAATGAAATAGTAATGACGTTTTTCTTTGTTCGTTCATTTTGTTGGGGTTATAGTGACAAGGTGTGATGCTAATGTGTGCGGCGTATGACGTCATCAAACAGGGTCTGACGCAGTTCTTATAGTCGTCACCGATTGTAGGGTGTATTTTAATCTTACACGAGTAGGACTATATACCTTGCCTATTTCTGCTGCAAAGCAATCTTCGCGTTTTATTTGACATGTGGGACATGGGTTATACTATGCAATGGAGTTGTGGACTTAATGTCTCAATGTATTCACGTTGTGGAATCTACGAGGTCCCAAAAGAATCTGAACAAGCTCTTGTTAAAAGATAATACCATATTTCTCGACAATAGTATTTTAATCAGACACTTCACGTAAATAAACATTATAATTCGTCCCGTTTTCGTTAGTCGGAAATCTAATTAAAACAACTTTTACGGTTTAACTCATGTTTTTATTTTTTGCCCTTGTAGGCAGACGAGCGTACGGCCCACCTGATGGTGAGTGGTTACCGTCGCCCATGGACTTCAGCAATGCCCGGGGCAGAGCCAAGCCGCTGCCTACCGTTAACTACTCTCCGCAAGCCTCGTTCGAAGAAAGATCTACCTATCATAGCGCTCGGGAAACACCGTGGAGGGGAGCTCATATCAAAGCCGGATGGTACGTGGCAAAAAAGTTAGTTTGAAGTTTTAAATAAAGAACACGTAAAATTAGTTTTAATTAGGAAGTCTTAGTATATATAATTCTTATATCCGTGTGTATGTTAGTGAACTCTTCATAAGCGGCTGGTCAGATTTTGATAAAAAAAAGTGTGATTCACAATTCGACTACAAAGAAAATTTCTAATTAATATTTAATAGTAATAGTATCTAATATTCGGATATAAGACATACAGCACCACGTCTGTCGATTCCACTATTATTTGTGTAGGTACATGACCCATCTCATGTATAAGAGCCACCATTGCTCATGGATATCCAAGATGGCAGAAGCAGAGTCAAGTTAATATTATATACCATTGAGAAATATTTTCAATGCGCTCGGCTCTGATGGGAGATGACGGTATCAAAACATTCGTTTAAAATGCTGGTACGTGTTTTTGGGAATTGATAATCAGTTAGAAAACTTTTCATAAACATTGGTTAACGTAAATTCAAAGGAAGATTAATTGTAACAATGATTTTTTTTACATTAAACTTTATATACATATATATTTTTAAGATCATAATTTATGTTGTTACAATTGTATTAAAAATCATTTCGAACTGTATATTGCAAAATGTTGATAAGAAAATGGTTTACGGAAAATTTGACCTTCACAACTGAACTCTAAATGCAAATGGTCGTGTGTTTTCCACGTTTTATCCGAGGGCCAATACAAATTCCGGAGGCATAGGAAGCAGTTGCCTAAATTTATTTCGAAAAAAAAAAGAACAGCAAATAAAAAAAACATTCCGCTCCATGTAATCTATTTGTTGTGGCTGGTTCCGATTCGTAAGGATTTTAAGTGATAAAAAATAAACGAATGTGGAATCTCCTATATAAAGGCAAAAACGAAAAACAATCATTTGTAGTATTAATAAGGGTGCAATTTCGTATAAACCCGTCATACCTTTTGATAAAGATCATTCATTCTACATTTAAAATTATATTGAAAGATTGAAATAAGCGCCTTCTTATTTTCAATATAGTTTTGAATTTAGAGTTTACCCGTTTATTACGCTGCCTTTTTGGGTTCCAATGAATCCTCCTTGAAGCGTAGGAATTTCAAAAATGGATCACGAAAGAATGTAATTTTGAATTTAGAACCCACGCACGCCCCATTCGCGTTCTCACTTCTCTACGCATAGCACGCAAATCTCTAAATGAAACTCTTTTTTTCACCACTGCAACCGAATTACACCAGAACTTTCTTGAATATTTTCAAGTGCTCAACTCCCGTTCGCCGCTGAGGAACCATTAAAAAATCTGCTGGAGAGGACGAGGACTTGGAGAACATCAGGTGAGTCGCGAGCGTTGTATTCTCTGATTCAGACTGTGTTTTCAATCTTCATCGCGCTGCTAAAATATCCCTACCGCCTACGCATCGCATCGGATTGTTTGAAACATTTTCCAACCGCTCACATGGTGTAGCAATTTACAAGGCACATCAATATATTGCTTGAGTTCAAGAGTGGGGTTCTTAGTCGCTTTTTTTTCTACGCTGGGGTCGAACCTCTTATATGGTGGTAGGACCTCTTGTGAGTCCGCACGGGTAGGTACCACCACCCCGCCTATTTCTGCCGTGAAGCAGTAATGCGTTTCGGTCGGAAGGGTGGGGTAGCCGTTGTAACTATACTGAGACCTTAGAACTTATATCTCAAGGTGGGTGGTGCATTTACATGGTAGATGTCTATGGGCTCCAGTAACCACTTAACACCAGGTGGGCTGTGAGCTCGTCCACACATCTAAGCAATAAAAAAATAAAAATGTGGGAATGGACGGTCCGTGTTGAGAGCCGACCGCGCGCCCAAGGATGATATTTAAGGCTCTATCTACTCCCTAATTCCCTTGCACTTCTACTCAAGCGTCCGGTCTCCCCCGAGGTCAGAATCCAGCGGAGTAAGGGGGGAAATCATAGACCTAATATTCTCTTTTTATTAAAATTAAAATTAGTCATCTGGCTTGAAGTCTTCTTGATAGCTCTGAACAACGTCTGGAACTAAGCCAAGCCGCGTCGCCTAGCTCTTAAGACTCGAATTAAATCAATTTCAAAGGTCGAATAATTAATGTTGCGAAATGTGGATGTGAGAAACAATAAACTGAATTGATAATAGATCAAAATTTTATTTCTGAACCATATTTTTTAATATTTTTCTTTTTTAATATACTACGATTATTATAATATAAATATATAGAAATGTTCAAAAGTTTTTTTTTTAAATCACGTATTAACATCGAAAATAAATCGCATTACAAAACATAATCATTTGAGTGACATTTTAAACAATAATATATTTAGAAAACATATTGCTAATTGATTTTATTCAGGGGTTGTAGTCAATCTTGTTGTTAATGTGGTAGCGACATGCGCTTGGCGTTCCTCCATAGAAACAGCCCACTGAGTTTCTCGCTGGATCTTCTCAGTGGATCGCGATTCATATCCGGTGGTAGACTCTGTGAAGCACTGCTCTTGCTAGGACTAGTGTTAGTAAATTCTCTCTGGTTGAGCCCGTGCGTGAGCTCACCTTCCCCTCCAGGCGTAGCTGGGATAGCCCCTTATGCTACCACCGAATAGATAGGGCTTACTTAGTTTGACAGGCGGTTTTTGGTTAGCAATTCACTAGCTTCATATCAACAAAATAAATTAGAAATCTGTTTTTTTTTCTTTCAGAAAAAGCAAAACAGTTAAATACGCTTATTCATGTGTATATCAAAAGTATTTATGAATATATTTAGAATGTGTAGGTATTTTTTTTCGAAAACGCCAATGATGGACAAAAAAGAAAATTCGATACTTAAACAAATCTAAATCTGTGAGTGGCTATGGTCGAATTTGATGAACATAAAAAAATCATCGTCACATCACATTGAATTATCAACAAATTTGCTCCTAAAGAAATACAATAAAACTTTGAAAATATAAAAGATGAACGACAATTGATTCATACGAAATTATTTAAACAGCCGCAAGATTAAGTACTTATTATTAAGTTAGCAAAACTAATTTATGGAAATAAATGGAAAAAAAAAACGCACAAGCAAAACGAATCACAGAATAAATTAAACTTTGAGTAGTAGTTTGATCCTTATCTACATTGCAATAAATGCTACAAAATCACTTGCACTAAATAAATTATCTCAGAGGCATCACGTACATACAATAAAAATAAATCTAAAGCAAACACGAGTAGCTTGTGATTGGTCGATGGAGGGATCAAGGGTAGATAACTTTAGTCTCCATATTTCTGTCACAGTAGCTATACGTTACAATTCAAAAGGAAAATATATACGCAAAAAAATATATACCCCGACTTCATATCTCAAGGTCGGTGGTGACATTGACTTTGTCTACAGGTACCCTCTTTTTTATTGTCTTTGTAGGCAGACGGACTTACGGCCCGCCTGATGGTGAGTGGTTACCGTCGCCCATGGACTTCAGCAATGCTAGGGGCAAAGCCAAGCCGCTGCCTACCGACCTACGACTACAAGAGGTCCTACTACATATACTGGTGGTAGGACCTCTTGTGAGTCCGCGCAGATAGGTACCACCGTCCCGCCTATTTCTGCCGTGAAGCAGTAATGCGTTTCGGCTTGAAGGGCGGGGCAGCCGTCGTAACTATACTGAGAACTTACAACTTATATCTCAAGGTGGGTGGCACATTTACGTTGTAGATGTCTATGGGCTCCAGGAACCACTTAACACCAGGTGGGCTGTGAGCTCATCCACCCATCCAAGGAATAAAAAAAAAAGAGTACCAACTCAAAAATATTAAAATAATTGAAATATTATGAATGAACATGTGACGTCTGATTCGCAGATAAGTACACAAAACGATTAATTTCGAGATTTAGCTTAGTTTCACAAATACATATTCTTCATAGCTAGAGGGGAAATGTATTTGTCCTACTAGTTAAATCATTTTTTCCTATTAACTTAAATAATTTACTGAATTAGAGGCACAATACTACCAAGAGACTCCGCATAGTAATCTGGTCGTATTGTGTGTGACAACATTTCTTCTTTGGTAGTGTTCGTTAAAACTAATAAAGTGTTGAAACCAACTGCTTTCCCTAGAGATACATCTTGGGCGATCCTGAAAAAAAAAACAAATTTATTGTAAACAAAAGAAGGTTTTATATCTCATATTTGTAATCGATTTTTTTGTATTTTTGAATTGAAACTCCTTTAGGGGTATGAGGGTAAAATTTTTACAGAACGTCACGCAGGTATGCAACGGAAGTGACATCAAACTACTATTGAAATTATGTCAGTAGTAGTAGTTGTTGTATTTTTGCAACTGGAAAGGCAAATGTATCATACCATACAACCTAATATTTTATATTTTTTTTGTGAAAAATGTTAATAGGAATTGAAATGAAATGAAAAGAATTTGGAACATTAATCAAATAGCATGAAATTAAATTAGTCAATTCAATTGGCAAAATATTAGTCATTTACAATTTAGAAATCTAAACATAATGTGACTGTCAACACTGAGGTTTGAGATTGACATTTGACAGACTTTTGGCGGGAACATATCGACGCCTGAAAGGCAAACGTGACTAACCGACAATGCGTGAACTTTACAGTAGACTAATTTAAAGTTGAAATACCTGAAAACAAAATTTATTTTAACGAATCCAGCTGTAGTAGAATCTAGCTAGTAGCTGTAGGATTGAAATGATTTTAATAGACCTAGAAATATATATTTTTTGCGCATCGAATATGGTTATTGCCTATCATTTATGTACAAAGCAGTTATTGTCGCTTAGTCACTTTTGCCTTTCAAGCGTCGAATTATCTTCCTTTTTCCCTTCCTCTATGTCTCGGAAATCTAAAGTTTTAGATTTGTATAAATATAAACAAGACTTATAAATTAGTTCGCTAAAAAAGTTTCACTTCTGACATGTGTACTTTGTACGTACGCACTTTTTTTGTTTATTATTCGATTTAGATAATTGTGGCTCATCTGATGCGTATTGTAATCCTGTAGGGAAGGCACCACAAAACTGCCTTTTATGCTTCGAAGCAGCCCTGAATTCCGGTTTAATGAGCGAGCCAGCCTTTATACAATACAATTGAGACTCGACCTCACGTCTCAAAGTGGGTGACGGTATTCACATATCTTTGATATAGATTTAGATATCACATATCTATAATCTTTACCCGCTTTATTTCAGGAGGCAGCGACCTCTTGAAGTCGTCGTGGCCTAAAGGATAAGACGTCCGGTGCATTCATGTTGAGCGATGTATTGGTATTCGAATCCCAGGCGGTTATCAATTTTTCTAACGAAATACGTACTCAACAAATGTTCACGATTGACTTTCTCGGTGAAGGAATAACATCGTGTAATAAAAATCAAACCCGCAAAATTATAATTTGCGTAATTACTGGTGGTAGGACCTCTTGTGAGTCCGCGCGGATAGGTACCACCACCCTACCTATTTCTGCCGTGAAGTAGTAATGCTTTTTCTTTGGTAAAAGCAGTTTTCTTTTTATCTAGAACTCACCAAAACCGATGAAAATACTAATACATAATATTATTGAAGTGAAACTTCTTTAGGTGCGTTGAGCTAGGTCATTTCTCTTATTCACATACCCTATTACAAAAGAAATTTGCTTGAAGGATGACAAATGAAGAAAACCACAATACTACAAACCACAAAAGAAGTTTCACTTCTTACACGTGCACCAAGTTGCACGCGCACCATTTTGTTATAATAATTCATATTTATACGTATTACTCACATGTCACCGATAAAAAGAACTCGACTAGGATCGGTGATGCCGGCTCGCTTCATAGCGAATTCACCGAAAGCTTTTCCTGGCTTCCCAAGCAGCACGGGCTCTCGTTTCACTTCTGCCGTAACCAGGTCTGCAAAAACTCCCGTCCCTACGAGAAACAAGTAGAAACAGAATCTATACTAATATATAAATCTAGTGGTTTCTACGGATGTTCCGTTATAACTACTGAACCATGCATGCGATTGAATTGAAACTTGTTATCCATGTAAAAAATACATTTAGTTCATGGATAGGCTAATATTTATATGAGTGTTGGACTCCCTACACCAGTTGCGGGGGCGTTAATGATTAGAATCTTTGTGGGGTGAGAAATAATAATGTTAATTTTAAATGCCTAGCGAAGCGGGCGGATACAACTATATAGTCAAATATAAATTTTGTCGTATCAAAGCTCGCGCGATTTCTGCTGCAAAAAAATATATTTTTTTCACCCATTAAAATGAGTAGCAAGCAGAAATACTCTTTGTGTTTACAATAATTCAATTACCCCCAGTTTTTATTTATTTATTTAAACCATGTAGATTAAATCTAGACCCGTAACTAAACAGTTAATGTATGTATAAAGTATTTATAGGTTACAGATACCAAAAGAATCATAAATAACTGTTTAATAATAAAATACTGTTTGATTTTTTATTTCAAATCGCCCCATTTGCTTAGTAGGCGACACTCGCTTGTGTTGCCGCAGTACAATGTTTTGAAAATGAATGAAAATATACATATTTGAAAATATTAGTAATTGGCGGTGAGTTCATATTTCATAAAAACCTTTAAAATTCAAAACAGTTGAGGTATGATACAAATGCAACGGAATCTATTTCAAGGTTATGAACTTATTCGATTATTTAAGAATTAAACACTATCGAGTAATTTCTAAAAAATACAGTTCTAAAATTAGAATATCGTTCATTATAGTAATCTAGATTATTGAACTTTAAAAATAAGCCACCAACATAATACAAAATAATAAAATCATAATTGTCGAACATAAGAAAACATAACGGCAAATACATTTTCGGAATTGCACACACGTAGAAACATAAACAATGGGATAAACGCAAACAAATTTGATGTACGACGCACAGCGGAAAAATTTACGTTGAAATAAATTTAAATTTGCCCTGAAAATATTTGCGAATACCGCGCTTAACACAATGCAAATTTTTATTGATGCGAACTCGGATGTAGGTTCAATGGTTTTGTGTCCCTATGCAATAAAACGTATGTTATTTTCATTGTAAATACTTATATTGTATTTTTAAAAGTTCCGAATCCATATTATTTACCCGCTACATAAATGCTTGCTTCATATTGGAGTTTATTATAGATTGGAAACCGATTCAATATAAATGTTTACATTATTAAATGCTTGGGCGAATGTTTCGTCAGAGAGCTCTTGTATTTTTAGTCAGTATGTGAGAACGCCTAAGCATTTCAAATAAATCGAGCTCTGTGGCCATTATCGGATGATACGGTGATGGGATTCCGACTAAATCAAGCTACGACTTCCTGGCTATCCGTCTGCGGTAGTTATGCGTATTAACTGAACCATTTGATTAATTTTTGTCTTAATTGGTGTCAGGCGGGCTGAACAAAAAAAAATTAGTGACAGCAAATTAAACCAATTTTAATTTGCTGTCACTAATTAAACCTATTATGTGGTTAGCAGTGTTAGAGCCAGAAGAAGAAATGGAACAAAAACTACATGATTATGTACTTTGAGTCAGTATTAGGTTGTTTTTCCTTTCTTTTATATATTTTTTCCGTATAACGATACACGTTCAAAAGTTGTTAGTTAAAACAAATAAGATATACGTACATATTTAAAAGCATCGGGTTTCAAAGACATGCGTCCCAATATTTACCTAAAGCTAAAAGACCAGGTTTCATTGGCACCGCCCTATCAGTCGCTCCATTTATGAAGAGGACCTCAGGTCTTTTCAGGTAGGTTATGGCTCGGTACATTTTCGGCAAGTTTATCCTAAAGTCGCTATCAAAAACGACGGCTCCTATCTCTTCATCGTCTTCTAAATACTGAATATATTCGCCATAGTACTCTGGCCCTAGATCTGGCTGGAAAAGAAACAAATTTAAATTTTTGAACATTCATATTTTTAAGAAAATTTAGGTCAACTTGTGTGCTTCAAATATATCTTGTGACATAACAATTTTATCTTTGAACAATGTTTCATTTGAAACCTAATAAATTCAAAATTAAGTATGTAATAAAAATAACATTAATGTTAATTATGACATTCATAAGGGAGTCAATAGAGACGATATTGTCAACTGACAAAAACAAGAAGTGGTTGTATTTTTTGTGTGTGTTACCTCAGAGCTTTGTTGTAAATGACACGATTTCGAAGAATCATTTTTTAACTGAGAGTTGATTGTTCTCATATATTCCCATTTAAATCTAAATCTCCATTATATTGCTCAGTATACGAGTACATGCTTTGCCGAAGCCAGTTTTCTCTTTTGTATTTTTTTTTGCATTATAAGTCTTTAAAAGCCATTCAATCAATTATGCATAATAATGCATATTTGATTGACTTCAATTAAATTGTCTATTATATTTCTCATTATACTTTGTCGGAGCCGGTTTGCTCTTTTGTATTTTTTTTGTATTACAACTGGATTTGTAGGTAGCATTAGGAATGTTACACTATTCAATCTATTTATTATTTTACTCTTTTTTAAAAGTAAATATTTTTACGTATACTTTTGTCTGTCATTGAGAATATCTTCAATACTTACACCTTCCTTGCATTTGAATCCGTGTGCTTCTAAGACTCTTATAGCCTCAGTACAGGTTACACAGTACACAGTTTTATTGAATTTAACTGATTTCAGGTACTCTGCCACTGCGATAGATGGAATGATCAGGCTCTCCTAAAAAGTGTTCCATAATTAATTTGAAGGACAGCCGATTGATTATTACAACAGAAAATCAAATACAGGTCTTCATATATAGGTTTTTATGATAAACAGACTACGATCGAACAAGCTTGCTTTTTATAAATGAACATATAAAGAGGTATTTAATATTACGAGTAATAACATATCGAGGGATCAAAGGCTAATTAGTTTATGTGAAATTCGCTAAATACGCGACATTTATTTTTGTAATTAAAAGTCCGTTTCATTTGGTATTAGTATCAACAATTCAAACTCCAATTAAGCTCAATTTAAATAGCTGAAGAAGTTGTTTTTTTGGTATATTATTTTATTCCAAATTTTAAACTTGAATGGTTCTCCTGTAAAGTTGCAAAGATGTCGCTTAAGCCAAATAGTCTTTCACCTGTCGATATGTAGCCTAAATAAAGAGCAAATAAATTTGTTGATGTAGGGATCGAGGTAGGTGTTTTTTTATATTGTTTTTTTTTGCTTAAATGAGTGATCGAGATTATGTGCCACCTGGTGTTAAGTGCTTAGAGAAGGCCATATACATTGACAACGTAAATGCCACCAACCACCTTGAGACATGAGTTCTAAGTCTTCGTTTTTACAGTACAAAGGCTGCCCCGCCCTTCAAACTGAAACGCATTGCTGCTTCACCGCTGAAATAGTTGGAATGGTGGTACCAACTCGTGCGGGCTCACAAGATGCTTTACCACTAATAATAAGTTATCACAATAACTTTTATTAGTTAAAAATACGCTTGTTGTAATGTCAGAGTGAAAGTAATTCCAATGAAAAGCGAATTTCATCTAATACACGCTTTTGTTCTGATTCTAAAGTTCTAGTTCAATACTTACAAAGCCGTTGTCGATGTCGGCTGCTTTGAATTGAGTTTCATAATTTGCTCTGGATCGAATGCTGTTATTGGAAACGAAATTCACTGTCTTCCCGCGTTTCTTCATCTGCTTGAAGAACTCTCCGACTCGCGGCAAAGGATTTTGAGTCCATATAACACCTGTGATTTGAAAATCTTGTAGGTATTTATTTGATCATCAGTTTAGCTTTTTAAATTGGCCATTGAAGATCGGTAAGCTTTGTTAATTGACAAGTTGCGTACTGAGCTTTTGTTTCCGGGAAATAGTGGGTCGCGTATCCGATCCGGTGGTACCTAGCTTCTGCAGAGCACTGTTTTTGCTAGGGCTAGTGTTATCAAATTCTCTCAGGTTGAGCCCGTGAGCTCACCTACTCGCTCGCCCTTTAGGCTATCAATGTTAAGAGGTACAGGAAAATATATTAGACTGACTGTGTGATGCAGTAACTAACGCCCCTAACTGCTGGGCTTGAGGTCAAGGTTCGACTTTCCCATCAAACAAACATTCACGTGACGAACAGATTGGCTTGCCATTTGTCTGACTGTTTCATATGTACATATCTAAATGTCTTCTTTCTAGTTAGGGGCCAAACGACCGTATGTGATTTGCCCTCAATCTATATATATATAAAAATAAATTGCTGTTCGTTAGTCTCGCTAAAACTCGAGAACGGCTGGACCGATTTGGCAAATTTTGGTCTTGAATTATTTGTGGAAGTCCAGAGAAGGTATAAAAGATAAATAAATATGAAAATGCTCGGAATTAAATAAAAATAACAATTTTGTTTTTCTTTTGATGTGTCCCCCGTCGGACGGATTCCTTTTGTTTGTTTTGAAGTTTATTTTATACAAAAGTTTAGGTCTTTTGTTTATCGATTGAGGCACTACAAAGTCTGCCGGGTCAGCTAGTTATTTAATATAAATAAGCTTTATTTGCTTTCTTTAGCGTCCGCTATAAGACTGTTGAATCTATATATGCCTATGACGTATAATTCCTCCGTATTCACAAATCGTAGACTTAATTAAAACTATTTTTACGATTTAATCTCCCGTTTTTATCACGACTGACCGTCGACCGAGTCGTCTGTGATAACGAAAACTGTAAATGATTCTAATGGTCGGAAATAAGACAGCCAAAAAGTACGCGAAACTAAATCGTTATAGTATTACTGTTTAAATTATGGCTTTATTGCTTAATTTAATAATGAAACAAATTTATATGGGATTTACATACGAATTGAATTATCACTTCTGCCATTGTCAAAGTCAATTTTTGACACGGCACCGGCAATGTCATTAAATCATTCACGTTTTGGTTTTTAAAGTTATTGTTGATGAAATCTCGTGTGATGATTACAGCACTGTTAAACCATTTTTAACGCGACGTACGCTCAAAATAGTTTTATCTGCAGACAGTAATCTGGTGCTTGCGTGATGTAATTAATATGTTTGTTATTATTAGTTGTTACAACATTTGAAAATTTTCTTGATTTAAATTATTTTCTCTTCTTTTTAATTAATTGGTTTTGGAACACCTACCCTTCCTGCGTATCCTATGGTAGACCTTTGATAGCGTTTTAATATAGTTAGACCAATAGTTAAAAAAAATTAAGAAGGCGGATATCTCACGGAAATCTCACGTAAAAACGTTACAATATAATTTTCATAAAAAATTATCATCAGTACAAGGCCACAAGTGAAAAAGTATTTATCACAAAAATGTAAGCATAAGCTGTGAAATAAAACGATAAAAATCATTATAGATAATGAGATCCCGGAAAATTACTGGGATTACTTTGGTTTTTTTTTGTTTGTTTTATATCTAAAAATCACGTGTTCTAAATGTCGAGTACATACTTTTTGGAAACGTGTTACAGAAAAACCACAACGTTTTACTGTTTTCCATTGTGTACATGGGTGCAGGTGATTACGAACTGTGGATTCCGGAGTCCACAGACATAACGAAGGAAAAGCCACCGCGCCCTTGAGATATTAAATCGAAGTATAAACTGTAAAACAGCTGTTCGACTCTTCGCACTGAAACGATTTACTGTTTGACGGCCGAAAGAGATCCATATGAGTATTACGGTAATACGCTGGTACTAATCGCTTAGTCGGTTCTCGCAGCCGCCATACACTGGCCTCTATACGGTACTAGAACGTAGAGATAAATAATAAGTTGGGGAAAAAGTATTTTCGCATTATAGTATGTATGAACTTGTAATAAAACCTCTTTGGCTATACTATTTGTATCTGGCTGGTTTTGGTACCATTAAAAGTTTAAATTTTAAAGAAGATAATTCCAAATTCGGATTAGGAAAGTGTGTGTTCGTACTGTCAAGATGAGTGAATCTAATGAAGAAATTCGATACATTTTAAAATTTTACTACAAAAAATGTGTCATGTCCCTACCTACAAGATGGCAAAAAGTTATCGAACAAAATGGTACCTACATACTTTATTTAAATGTAAATAAACCATAATATTAAAAAAATGTTGTAAATTTTCTTAAAAAATGCGAAGAAACTTTTTCCCGAACCTATTATTACAAGATATATATCAAAGGAAAGCCTACCACGGTGTCTTTGGACATATTGAAGCGTACATCTTAAGCGACTCGGAATCTCACCTGACTGATTGATCGTCAAGCATTTCGCGTCCAGTGCAGGGAAGGCAATCTGGATGTTAAGTTCGCTTTCCCGATTTTTATCGACCGTAACGGTCTCCGCGGGGCTGATGTAGCTTGCAACATTGGCACATCAAGTCACACTCGGGTGTCTTCGGGCGAAATCGGAATTCCCGAACGCGCACTCGCCTGTCACCTGACGTCAGTCGAGAAGCTACGCGCGCCAATTTAAGTTTAATATAAAAATAATATGTACCTTCGTAATGTTAATATAATTTGTATCATCTGGTGCCTAGCTTTGTTTTCTCCGTTCCTTGTTAAGATTATAAGAACTACCGTACACTACAAAATAATTATAAGTTTTAAAAAAATAGTGTTTTATAATTCATCATCATTCTTCTGCCCTTCTCCCAGTCACCTGGGGTCGGTGGAACATGTTTTCTTCTTCCATACTTCTCTATCATATACCATTTCTTCGCTCACTCCCCTCTTACACATACCGTCTTTCACGTCATCCATCCATTTCTTCTTAGGTCTACCTCTTCCTCTATATCCTTCCACATTCATAGTTAACACCCTCTTACCAACCTCATTGTCATTTCATCTCATCACATGTCCATACCATCCCAAACGCGCACTTCTCAACTTCTCTGTCACAGGTGCCACTTTCAGACTTCCTCTAACAAATATTGATTTTTTCACATATATAAAATAGTGTGTTTAACTTATTTATTTTGAGTGCAAATTTCCCGTTAATAGAAAAGTAAATAATAGACCACACCTATAAATAAACTTGATAATTAACCGCAATGAAAAAACTGTTGCCTTGAAAGTATTTCATAACTTTTGTATCAATTGATTTAATTATCGGCGACTTCAATACGTATATTGTGTATATTAGCATATTAACTTTGAAAACGTTCTATATTTTAACCGACTTAAAAAAATGGAGAGGTGAAGGAGATTTACTAGCATGGCTTATGGTATAGTCTACCATCAGTAAATGACGAAGCCGTTCGTAGGACGCTGAGATAATATTCAAAGAATGCTCATTAATTCTTTAGTCGTCTTTTAAGACACTCCCGGAAAGAGATGTTTTGGTGATATCCCATATCGGCAACATGTAGCCAATATGTAATCTTTTATGTAGACTTTTATAAAACATTTAACCGTAAACAAAGACATTTCAGCATTTCGTTGAGATCTACAGTAGGTATATAGTAAAAAAAAATCCCTAAAATAGTTCATGTTGTTATCTGTCTTGATAGTGATTTGTAATTAATGTGTTTCCATGAAAAATCTCCTTCGATAATGGAATGGCCTTCCTCTTTAGTGCGAAGGTCGAATGAGGTCATCGGTGTAACAATAACCACGGGGCTTAGATCCCGTAGGAAATCAGTTTAATATGGAAAGCTTTTCACTTATTTTAATATTGAAGCAATATGCATTTTTTCTGCCACAGTTTGGTGATGAATAAATAAACACTTTCATCTAACTTCAATTTTAAAAAAACATGAAAAACATAATCAAAATCATAAAACAATGATCGAATAAACAAAATACTAATACGAACATATACAAATAATATGAATTATGTAACTAACATACCATCGCAATCGGAGAGGACATGGTCGAAGGAATCTAGAAATTTGTTAAAGTCTTCAACACTTAAATCTAATAAATGCTTAGGTTCAGCCATTATGTTTAACACTTTCAGACGTTTTTTTTTGTATACTATAATATTAAAACACGTGTGCACTTAACCTTACTGTGTGAGTGACTGCGCCCGCGTCACGTCGTACGTAAATATAAGCGAATGTTCTAATGGGACTGTTTCCGATTAATTACGATTTTGTGACGTCATACGGTTTTTCTACGTTTGACGTATCGGTATTTGCATCTTGTTAGTGTTGTACCACGACCGTCATTCGAAGTGCGACCCCACATCGTATGATGAGCATTAAAATCACCTGCCAATAACAAGGGCTTTGGAAGAGAATCAATCAAATTATTGATATGTGTATAAGTAAAATTTTGTGAGGCAGCTGAAGTAGGACTATAGAAGCTAACAATAGAGATTTCTTCATTGTTGAACTGTAATCTAATAGCTTTAAGTGTAAATTCAGTAATTTTGCTATTGCCTAACAGCCTGCTGAGATTATGGCACATCTTATGGTGAGTGGTCACCGATGCTCATAAACACTAACGATGCCAGGAGTACAAGAGCCATCAAAGAAGATCGTGGGAATATTTAGTCAAGTGAATTTTCATTAAATAATGGGTTTTTTTTGTTCTTCGTGTAAATGTTTTGTCAGTCTGCTGTAACATAGCAATGTAACATTACCGTTACACTGCTGTGCCGATTAAACCTCAGATAGATTGAAACTATGCATAAATTATAACTAGTTGATGTCGTTATAGTAAACATAAAAAAATATTCAAATATGTTCAGAACTGAAATGTTTATAATATCATTTTGTACATCATAAATAAATCGAATTGAATACACTGTGCGAAGGTAACTCCAAATTTAGTTTGTGAATCAGTTATGAACTTTTCAAGTGGTCTTTAAAATAAAGAATTTCCATTTTTCGCTAACTAATAAAAGCTCTCTTGGGACTCACCAAACTTTTCCTCGGTGATAAATTGCAAGCGAAATCGTTCTAAAGGGGTTATCGACCTTCTGTGGCGGTGGATTTACGAAGATTCACGGTTAGGTAGTAAATCGGGATTTCTCTTTATATGTAGATGTTGGCATATGAAAGAATAATGGAGACATTTAAACATGCATAATTCTTCGACGGATAATAAAATTTGCTTTATAGTTAGGCACGGAATTATTACTTTTTTTTTTTATTGCTTAGGTGGGTGGACGAGCTCACAGCCCACCTGGTGTTAAGTGGTTACTGGAGCCCATAGACATCTACAACGTAAATGCGCCACTCACCTTGAGATACAAGTTCTAAGGTTTCAAGTATAGTTACAACGGCTGCCCCACCCTTCAAACCGAAACGCATTACTGCTTCACGGCAGAAATAGGCAGGGTGGTGGTACTTACCCGCGCGGACTCACAAGAGGTCCTACCACCGTAAGTTACCACAGGTAATTATGCAAAAAAAAATTGCGGGTTTCATTTTTATTACACGATGTTACTCCTTCACCGGGGAAGTCAATCGTGAACATTTCTTGAGTACGTATTTCATTAGAAAAATTGGTACCCGCCTGAGATTCGAACACCGGCGCATCGCTCAACACGAATACACCGGACGTCTTATCAGTTAGGCCACGACGATTTCTATAAACTATATATTTTGACACTCCCGCTGACACGGTGTAATGGAAATGCGTCGCGAACTTTATCGATTAGAAGTCTCGTCTCCGTGGTGACGGCCTTGTTTTTAATTTCTGTCCCGATTGGTTCCAACATTGACATTCAAAAGGGAAAAGGAAGTTCGCGACACCGTGAAACTAAACGATGATTAGTGCAATTCAGTTTGGGGCCGCTTGTTCTTTCTGATTGCTAATTAGAATAAATTGGCGGGTGAGTCATTCGCGTTTCGGAGATTGGTCTGATCTATTTAAAATCAAGCTCTTTTCTCTTTAATTCATTTCGATTTTTTTTATTGATCTTATCTTATCTTAGACGAGCGTACGGCCCACCTGGACTACAGTAATACCAGGGACACAGCCAAGCAGCTGGCTACGGCGTAAATGTCTGTTAAATGATGTTCACTTTGATTTTTATCTAATAATTTCAAACATGATGATACTCTCTTGAGAACATTTGAATGGTCGTAAATATAATCTGAAAATAAGGCTGAGCCTCATGATTGTAGTGAAACTAAGAGGAAGACACATGCCGTCCGCAAAAAAAACTCACTATTTAAAAAAAATCACAAACCTTTTTATCCATTACAATTTATATCTCGATAAGTTAATTTAAACAATTTAAAAAAAAATATTTGTTCGTTAAGTAAACAGTCGTTTTGATTGAACACAGCAATTTCGATTTTAATGTAACATTTTAAATTTAGTTTTCGGGTATGTAATATATTTTTGTTTACTAACGTTGATTTCGGCTTCATTTCAATCGGTCTGCAAAAGGAATGGTATATGCATTCATTAATTTTTGAGGATAATTGTGCATGTAATTAGTATCGTTTCAAAATACGAGCACAATAAAATTATGCTTATCAGATAGTACATTGTATTATCGACATTTAAGTAATACATATGTACACGTAGTTTTAAAAAACTATGTATCTATGTACAAATTTTCAAGCTATTCAGACGATTTAAAATTGGTGAAAATAACGTTCAGAGATTCCGGTACATATAAACTAACACACATCATATGTATGTATGTACCTACATGCCAATCAAATAAAGTGTGTTAAAAAAGGTTCGTCGACTTATATGTGCAGATATTTATCAAAAGATTCAGGTATGCAACTGCTTGGCTCGGGGACAGTTGGAAGTGTGACGAAGGTAAAAGTAGATGACGGCGGCGGATTTCCATTCTCTTTCCTTTGTCGTCTAGATAATGCTTTAGCGATCTAGAGGATCAACTGTTGCGTTGTTAAGTGGTTACTGGATCCCATAGACATCTACAACGTAAATGCGCTACCCACCTTGAGATATAAGTTCTAAGGTCTCAAGTATAGTTACAACGGCTGCCCCACCCTTCAAACCGAAACGCATTACTGCTTCACGACAGAAATAGGCAGGGTGGCGGTGCCTATCCGCGCGGAATCACAAGAGGTCCTAACACCAGTAATTACGCAAATTATAACTTTGCGGGTTTGATTTTTATTACACGATGTTATTCTTTCACCGTGGAAGTCAATCGTGAATATTTGCTGAGTACGTATTTCATTAAAAAAATTGTTACCCGCCTGAGATTCGAGCACCGGTGTATTGCTCAATACGAATGCACTGGACGTCTTATCGTTTAGGCCACGACGACTTCTATAGTTCGGTATCTTGTGTAATTTGTACAAAAGCTACGCAGTTTTTCATCCTCATATTCGAAATATATTTCATACAAAGTCTCATAATCAGCTGTAATCAAAACTCTCACTTGATTTAAGCCAAACATAGATATTACAAAGAATACACAAACAAAATTAGTTTCACTAAAACGAAAAAAAAAAAGTGAAAGTTTTTTCTAAAATTAAAGAAACAAAACAACAAAAAAATCGACTAGATATTCCTCTTTGTTTTCGTAAAACAATGTTAATTAATTTTAGGGTTGCTCGTATAAAATAAATTTTAATACAAACAGACCGAAATCCTACGGTCAGTCTATTTGTTATTTAAATTAGAAAACATCGCGTCTTGTTATTGAATATTTTATATGTTTGTTTAAACTAAAATTATATAATAATCACATTATAATATATGTAAGTATAATTTAGAAGAGTAATTTATTCCCTTATTTTTAGTTCAATTTATAAATATATTTGTTGATAAATTAATTTGTAGGTACTAAGTACAACACAATGTCCATTGCTTAAAATTGATTTGTTTACTTATACCATAATTTGTGTGTTATTTGATAATAATGTTAACTTTAGAGACACACTATTATGAAGGGCTATTTCTAAAACCCACGAAGTTACTACGCTCTTTCTAATCTTGTCTGGTCTCAATTGCCAATGGACTTAAGCAATGTAAAGCCTTTACATTTACAACCGAGCCGTACTCTAAATTTTTTTTTATTGCCTTTGTAGGCAGACGGGCATACGGCCCACCTGATGGTGAGTGGTTACCGTCGCCCATGGAGTTCAGCAATGCCAGGGGCAGAACCAAGCCGCTGCCTACCAATAGATGTGGTTAGGTGATGAAAAACAATTTGTTATAGAACACATTGTAGTAATAATTAATATTTATTTTCAAAACCTAGAACTAACATTTAAAATTAAATTAACGAAGGTTGCGTGATCCAATTATTTTTTCTCGCAAACGAAGACCAAACATCTTTCCGTTCTTTGACCTCCCCACTGAAAAATACTTAACTTATACTAAAGTTCCCCAATTAGGACAGAAGCGCAGCCTCCTTTGAAGTCCAGAGATAATGGCTCCGTATTTACTAAGGTGCCGCTTGATAAGAATATTTTGTACGAAAAAGTTTTCTTTAAAAATATTATTTTGTACGGAATTCGCGGAGTTTTAATGGGGCCCCACTGGCGATACTGACAGGGCTTGAAGCATTGTTTTCGTAGTGACATTTTAAGTAAAAGTATTCATAGTAAAAGCTGGTTTTTTTCTGTGTATGCTATATAGCTACTTACGTTTTAAGACTCTTCTAATAGTATATATTAAGGACACACGAAAGCCTAGTATTTATTTTAATATATTTTATATCAGGGGAGGCCAACCGGTAGATCGCGATCGACCGGTCGATCGTGGCAACACAAAAAATATAAATAAACAAACTGCGTAACGTAATCACCAATTGCTGCACGCATCATCTTCATCTTGGATCATTTGTTAATAACCATTACGTCACATTATTTATGCTCTCTTCTACATAATGGTTCTCTTTTATTATATAATTTCAGGTTTATTTTAATCTTTTTAATAAAAGAAAATATACTGCTTATTTGTATACTGAACTACATTGTCTCATTAAATTTCAAGAAATGTCACTGGTAGATCGCAGTGTGTTTCGTTCGTACACAATAGATCTTGATTCTTATCAAGTTGGCCACCCCTGTTTTACCTAGTTGTATGATCGAGTTCAGGCCCTACCTGATGTTAATTTGTT